TAACTATTACTTATGCTGTTCTTATCATCTAACATCTGCTTATTCTCTATCTAGTTAAATTCTATACAAGTTTCAGGTTATGATTCTCTTCCCCTATTTAGCCTTTTCTATTTACCCACTTCACAGCTTTCCCGTTTATTTTCCTCAGTAAATGTATATGCTGTACAAGCCCATCATTTCGTTCCTTTTACAATACCTTGCAATTATTCTTTAGGACACTATTACCTATATTTTCATCCTAACATACACTTGTAATTTTTAAAACTTGAATGACTTGCCCTGGTGTGGCTCAGTTGGTTGGGCATTGTCCCATGCACCAAAAGGTTGCTGGTTCAATTCCCAGACAGGGAACATGCCTGGATTTCAGGCTCCATCCCCAGCAGGGGGCAGTAGGGGGCACACAGGAGGCAGCCAATTGATGTTTCTCTCTCACATGGATGTTTCTCTTCCTCTCCCTTTCTCTTTTTCTAAAAACATATTAAAAATAAACCTGATTGACTTGTTTCAGCTACACCACATTAATAACTACTCTTCAGTCATAAACTGGCAAAGAAGAATATAATTATATGTTAGAGGGGAAATTAGAAATAGATGGGTACGCTTGATTATTTAACTGTGCACAATAGGAAAGACCTGTACATGTTTAGAGGGCAGTACGATTAACCTGAAAAATTTTTTAATGTTTTTTTAATTGATTTTTTAGAGAAAGAGGAAGGGGGAGAGAGAGAGAAACATTAATCGGCTGCCTCCTGCACGTACCTTGCTGGGGATCGAGCCCAAAATTGAGGCATGTGCCTTGACTGAGAATTGAACGATGTTCAATCCACTGAGTCACACTGGCCAGGGTCCCCTGAAATTTTTGTTAAGCATACAGTTACTCTAAGCTACAGTGCAGAAAATGTAATTCAGAAACCCATGAACAATCAGAGATTACTGAGAATCCAGGTTTTTCTTCACCTTAGGGCCTTCATTCACATACACAGACTCAGTTTTTATCTGGTTGTGTTGCACTCTCTGCTTTGATCGGTAAGAAGCTTGAAGGTGAATTTCTAGCCTGCCTTTAGTAATTTTTGTATGTATGTTTGTGTATGAACTTTACTCTTGGTTTCCTTTATTCTTAAAAGCCTATCTTCATATTTTAGGAAATTATTTCACATGTCTTCTGGAACACAGTGAGACACAAGTAACTGACCAAATGAATACATGAGTGCAGGAATGAATACACAATAACTAAGATGAATCAATTTAGATAAAGTGCATCCACAGTTTATGCTATGGATGCGCACACCTGAGTTTCCCATTGTTCTCTCTCCCGAGGTTCGCCTAGCAAGGTACTCATTTCCCGTACCTGAGGTTTGTAAACTGTGTGCTCCCAAGAGCGGCAGCCTGAGTGCTGGACCTGCTGCGTCTGCTTCTTTCTCTCCCCTTCGCCCCAACCAACAGGGCAGTTCCTAGTTGTATCTGGCATTTAGATGTTATTTAAAAATATTTTTTCTTCATTGATTTTTAGAGAGAGAGGAAGGGAGAGAAACATCAATGGGAGAGAACATCGATTGGCCACCTCCTGCATGCCCCCCACTGGGGATCAGGCCCACAACCTGGGCGTGTGCCCTGACCGGGTATTGAACTGGAGACCTCTTGGTGCTTGGGTCGACGCCCAACCACTGAGCCACACCGGCCAAGCAAAGATTTTATATAAAGAAAGGATTTTATTGCAAAAAAGTACAAACTTGTCTATAGACTACACACTCGATGTGCACACATCAGCTGATTGTATTCATCTGGTGTTTTATTGTGTACTGTCTTGAATTCTTCGCACATTCCTGCAGTCCAGAGTTAAGGTGGGCTAAAGGCACATCACAGGTTTCTAGCTCTGCTTCTCTGAGAGCATCCCTGACTAGGCCAAATATGTTTGAACATAATCATAAAATACGTATAAGCCTTAGAATAGAAGTATTTTATAATTTGAAGAAGAGAAAGAGAATTATTCATCTAAGTCAGATTGAGACAGTCCTAAATATCGGAACTAGTAGCTAATTCATTTTTGCCATTAGAAAGTGGATTAAACTATTGTGATATAACACCCACCTGCTTCAACCTTTTCAAAGAGCATGCCATAAAAGAGGAAAGCAGTCTCTTGGTTTCTGTGTACTTGGTTGGTGTGTTGCCTGTGTTGTACACATGGCAGAAGCCTGGGCATCTTGCTAGCTGTTGAGTTTCAGGATTCATTCTGACTGCTTCTCCCAAATGAGGCAGGAAGTGTCCAATTTAGATGGATACAATCATTCCTGTTGCCTTCTTTTACCTCTCAAGACTTTGTTCCTACTGACAACAACCACCACATCTTACTGTGTTTACTTGGGTAGACTTCTGTTAGACTGAACTTTCCTTTTTAAATTAAATTTATTGGGGTGACATTGGTTAATAAAATTATATAGGTTTCAAGTGTACATTTCTTTGATACATAATCTGAATATTGCATTGTGTGCCCATAGACTGAGCTCCTTGAGGGTCAGGACTGTGCGTTATCTTTGCACCCCAGCACCTAGTATATGCTTGGCACATGATCCAACAACAATTAGATGGGACCCAGAATACATGAGGTCAGATCTCACAGGTCCCCTGCTCTACTAGTTACTACATGCTTAATTATTCAGTCAACAAGTGTTGAGAGCTTTCTATATGTGAGGTGTTGTAGTATGTACTGGAACGGGCCATAACTCAGCAGTCAAACCTAATATGATTTAGCAGGAACCATGAGCCTTAATTGACAGAGATTCTTAGGGACTGTTTACTTTCCTCTCTTATAAGAGTAATTTGTGGCCCGGCCGGTGTGGCTCAGTGGCTAAGCGTCAACCCTTGTACCAAGAGGTCGCTGGTTCGATTCCCGGTCAGGGCACATGCCCAGCTTGTGGGCCCAACCCCCAGTGGGGAGCATGCAGGAGGCAGCCAATCGATGCTCTCTCTCATCAATGCTTCTATCTCTCTCCCTCTCCCTTCCTCTCTCTCTAAAATCAATAAAGGTGAGGGGAGTAATTTGTGGAGCCCCAAACTTTGTTTTTGTCCCCCTCACTCTGGGGGCAGGAAAGAAAGGGGAGAAGGCACATGACACACCCAGGTCTTGCACTCGCCACACTCACAGAATACCATAATAAAAACCAATAATAAACTTTAATTTGAATATATTATAGAATAATTATTGTGAAGTATAAAAATAGTTGTAAAAATATTTTCCAGTTACAAGTAATATTTGCTACAGACTATAAATAGTACATGGATGCTATGAACTGTACACGTTACACGGCACTGCTGGGCCTGGAGCTTCCTCTCTCCTGTACCATCACCGAGAGAAAAGCAGCTATACAAACCACTCTGCAGTCTGAGACCCTGCCAAGACCCTTCAGAAGTAGCTGTCCCAAATGGCAGAACTGGATGGCATCTTTCCTTAACTAGTCTTTATGGGTTTGGTTATTTTTGTGTTTTGTGTTTGTTTTTTGCTTAATTATATAGATCAAAAACTTTTTTATTCTTCATAGATTTTAGAGAGAGAGGAAGGGAGAGGGAGAGATGAAAACATCGATGAGAGAGAGCATCGACTGGCCACCTCCTGCATGCCCCCCACTGGGGATTTGGCCCACAAGCTGGGCATGTGCCCTGATTGGGACTCCAACCAGCGACCTCTTGGTGCACGGGTTGACGCTCAACCACTGAGCCACACCAGTTGTTTTTTAAAAAACTTAAAAAAAATTAGTCTAAAATTTTGGGAATTGCTATTTTGGGAACGTAAGACCTCCCCCTCCCCCAAAAGACAGAAAGACAGAGGGAAAAGTGTTAAATTCAAGAAAAGCTCATTTAAAAAATAAATTACCATCAGTGGAAAAACTTTTCAAGTACTATATAGAACATTTGAAAATAACAGCAATTAACTGGAAGACAAATTTCATTGCCAAGAGCCACTGAGGAGTTCCGTGTCTTTTTTCCATTATCATGTTTGGCATATGGAAAGGATGTAACTTTGTTTTCTAAGATTCAGTACTCCGGCCAGTTTATTCCGATTTGTGCTCTGCACTGAAGCTCTACGTCTAAGATAAAAGACAAGAAACCTGGTCATCTTCCTGAGTAGAGCTGAAGCAACTGTCCGGGAGGCCAAGGCTATCTGAGGTCTTTGACCGTCTCTCCTTAGCTGCTTTCATTCCCACCACCTTCCCTTCTCCATGCTACACACCTTCTTCTTCCACCGGGATGGCTCTGCACTTTCCACACCTGTAATACTGGGTGCCTCAAACTCATAGGGAAAAAATGGTGTAGAAACAAAGGTAATCTGGTACATAAAAACATGTAGGTCTATTTTCTGAAAATAGCTTGTGAGCCTAAGAATGCTCAATTGTATAGTAGATTTATGTTATGAAAGCTCAGAAATGTGGGGCTGAAATGTGACTCAGGATAGAGCCCGGCCATTAGGAAATCCTCCAAAGGGCTCTACACAATCCATGTTCTACACCATTACATTAATAAATGGCCATAATGCGTACACATAACCTGTGGCCCTACTTTAAAACTGATGTTTAGTCAGCAAGATACACGAAGAAAAAAACCTGTTTTGTTACCTAAAATATAATGAAGAAATGACAAATGAGATTTGTATACTTTGCTTCCTTAAAGGTACCACATAGATTAAAAAAAATAAAATAAAATAACTACAGTGTTACTCCACTGCAATATGTTATTATCATCAAGAATTCAATTACTGAAAGATAAACCCCTAGCCCTGGCCCATGTGGCTCGGTAGGTTGGGCGTCATCCCAAGGTTGCCAGTTCGATTCTTGGTCAGGGCACACCCGGGATTTGGGCTCTAATCCTAGTAGGGGGTGTGCAAGAGGCAGTCAATCAATGTCTCTCTCTCTCTCCCCCTCTCCTTTCCTCTCTCTCTAAAAATCAACTATATATATATATATATATATATATATATATATATATATAAAGAAAGATTAACCCCAAGCCTATTATCTATTAATAACGGGACAGCTTGATAAAGGATCTTACTGCCATCTTATAATCGTATAGCTAGTTATAAGTTCTGTTCTCCCAAGCTTCAGAGATGCATTACGAAACTCTCTACAGAATTCCCTAGTAACAAGGGGTAGTGTATAGAGACGACTAAAAATAAGATGACAGAATGATGGTGACTCTTGAGCACTAATGGCATTTGTTATTTCAGCTTGGAAAAAATGCCACAGAATGTTTATATAAAAAAAGTTATGCCATTCTCCTTAAAGTCAGTAAATTACATAACAGTACTCCGAGTATCTTTGCAAGAAAGGCACTGGATAAGTCCACAGTCTTATTGCTGGTCAGATCGCAAAGGGCCACAGCATAGGCTATGGCACTTGGTTCAGCCAGGAGGCAAGGTCTCAGAGTCACTGGTCTTGTGGCTTGAAGATCAAGAAAGGAAAACGTCAATAAAACAGAGCCCTGCATCTTGCAGAAACTTGAGGAAAATGATTTCCAATTTTATGTCAAAGCAGGGACTGGCTCCCCAGGCCTCTGGAGCGATGTTAGACAGGCACTCTGTTCTCCTTGGCCCACTTCTTCATGATGCGGATGATGTACTCTACTTGGGTGTTACCGGTGCTTCTCAGTAGATGGAGCACTTCTCGAAGGGTCTCTCTGAGGAAAGGATTTGAAAGGACACAGTGTTTCAACAGAGAATGAAAATTAACAGGTAAAATAAACTGGTAGCTGTTCTTCATATACTTCTAGTAGGGCATTTTTGGTAACTGACTCTTTCCCTGTGTCTCATAGACCAATCACAAACTTCCTCGCTTTCTGTCTTACAGTGGCATAGTAAAATGAAAATTCGGATACCCTTCTCACCCAACCCAAGCTTTACTTGTTTACCTATACTACCTACACACATGTATTAATCTTTCTATCTTAATATGACACAAATATTTCCATTTCTGTGCTTATTCTGCATGACAGAGTAGAAAGTGGGTATATCAAGGAGCTGGGGTCACTGGGGTTCAAATTCTAGCTCCATACTAACAAGTCACCTAATTAATCTGCATCCCAGATTTCTTTTTGTTTAAAGTGATAATCAATCGCCCTGGCCAGTTTGGCTCAGCGGTTAGAGTGTCGGCCTGCGGTCCGGAGAGACCCGGGTTCGGTTCCCGCTAAGGGCACGTACTTCGGTTGCAGTTTGTCCCCGGCCCTGGTTGGTCGTGCGGGTGGCAGCCACTCGATGTGTCCCTTCACGTCGATGTTTCTCTCTCTCTCTCTCTCCCTTCCTCTCTCTCCCTCCCACTCTATCTGTACAAAAAAATGGAAAAATATCCTCGGGTGAGGATTAAAAAATAATAATAAAGTGATAATCAATCACCATAAGCTGGGTATCACTACCATAATTATGAAATTTTATAAAGCCAGAGGAATGAATGAATTCTTAGAGAAAAATAATATATTAATAAACATGGGGAAAAAAGCAAGTTAAGGACCAAGATTTGGCAAGATTATTCTGATTTATGATGCCTCGTATTTATTTTTTAAGTAATTTAAATTTAATTACAATTAAAATGAGTGTTTTAAGTAATGTATACTAAAACTCCCCTATTACCTTATCAAATCTACAGGTAACTGTGTATTGATTCTCTTCCCTAAGAGTTCTCTCATATTTTTTACTTCTTTTTTCTACTCAACCAACCTCTTTTACTTAATCAAATTCACTTAAACTTTTATTTAAGACTGGAAGTAGATACAAGGCAGGAGGTAATTTTTGATAGATTATTTACTTATAAAACTATCATACCTCCTATTCATATATCAGTAACAAATATATTCCAGGAAGTTGTTTCTTTCTAAAAAAATTTTTTTTCCTTTATTGGCCTTAGAAAGAGGAAGGGAGAGGGAGACAGAAAAACTATCAGCTGATCAGCTGCCTCCTGGACGCCCCCTACTGGCAATCAAGCCGGCAATCCCAGCATGTGCCCTGACCAGGAATCAAACCAGTGGCCTCTTAGCACATGGGTCGATGCTCAACCACTGAGCCACACCAGCTGGACTAGAAATATGTAACATATTAAACTTTTATTCATCATTCTAAAACATCATTATAATTTTGAGTTTTCAGAAGAGGATAAATGTCATCCATGAAAACAATTCTTTTTCCTCACAAACCAGCAAATGAGTAAAGGTAGTGTTTCTTGTCTGTGTACTTACTTGGGCTCTCTCCCAGCTAAGATCATCTGGAAAATGCCCACACAGGCACCCCTCTTGCCTTCCCAATATTCAGGGTTAGGATCAAGCCTCTCTAGAACATCAAAGGCTTTGGCCGAATAGTAAAACTGGCCCATCTGAAGAAAAGAAAGAATTGTGGTACTACTTATAGTCACCAGATTACGAATGAAACTAAACACAAAGATACCATGAAACAGCACTGTATAAAATGAGTGCATGGGTAATGATAACATTTTCAGTTAGCAAATTAGATAAATTTAAAAAAAGGAAAATCACAGTTTGAGTATATGAGTTCAATTTAAATCAGCTAACCTTCATTCAGTTTTCAATATAACGTTGTTTTCTACATAGTGTCAAGTTATTCTATAATCAACACATCTGTCTTTTCTTCTAATTATATTCTAATCTTGAGAATAAACTCTGTCAACTGTGATTTGAACTGAGTATTTTTCATGTCTTCTCAATACATTCTGTAGGGGATTACTATCATTCATTTTATGCTAGTTTGATCATGTTCAACCCAAGAGGATAGTCCTTCCCTGACCTTGTCTAAATTCTCAGTATGCCTAGGTGTATACTGAAACTACTCTAAAACATGAAATCTTGAAAACATTTCATTTATCTTGACATATATCTTTCCCAAATATACTACAAATTTCCTTAGCCTTGTAGAACATGCTAAATATCATAAATTTTGCTTAGATGAGTTTCCTTATCATAAACGTAGTGTTATGTAGCAATTTCACCGATGGCTTCAAATTGCTGAGCAATCCCCTCCTCAGTGTGGCTTAGTTACTTCTCCATTCCAGTGTGGCTGTTGTCCTAAACACTGCAATTTCCTGCAGAGCCCTACTGCATTCTTAGCATAGCTTTTCTATCTACTTCATAGGGAACACACGACTTTCCTCACTTCAGTTAAAATTATACCTTCATTCAGCCTTCCCTCTTTTCTGCCTAGCTCACAGGGAGAAGTGTTTTTATTCCTTTCCAAGGTTAATCCTGCTTCCTGTGTCCTCTTATGCATTTTGGAGGGTGAAAGAACACACACAGAGAATGGTGCATGCAACATAAATGTACGATTTAATGTCTGATTATAAGGTGAATACAAGGGTAACCACCACCCAGGTCAAGGAAGGAAACATTGACAGCAAAAGAGCTCTTTGCATCACTTCCAGACCACAAGCTTTTTTCCCTCCAGAAGTAACTATTACTCCAACCTTTATGGCTGTCAATTCTTTGACTCTTTTTTTTTTCTCATTTTGTTGTTGTTGTTGTTCAGATAGAGTGGGAGGAAGAGAGAGGAAGAGAGAGAGAGAAACATCGACATAAAAGGGACACATCAAGTGGTTGCCACCCGCACGACCCAACCCAGGTCGGGGACAAACTGCAACCGAGGTACATGCCCTTAGTGGGAACCGAACCTAGGACTCTCTGGTCAGTGGGCCGATGCTCTAACTGCTGAGCCAAACCGGCCAGGGCAGTTCTTCAACTTTTTATGTATATATCTTCAGACAATATAATCGAGTTTTGCTCTCATAATTTTATCTATCTGATATGCTACTGTAAACACTCTTTTGTGTCTTGCAGATGTTTATAAGATTCATCTCGCTTATGTTTATAAGGTTGATCTTTCTCTACCACACTTTGCTGTTTCCCCTGCTGCTGCTGCTGCTCCTACCACTACCGTCATGACTGCTGGTAACTTCTAAAACCGCGTCTCTAATCCCCACCTCTCACGTGAACACCCCAACTCCAGGCCCGCCCTGATAATTTCCCAGATGTAGTATCTCTGCCTAGGAGCCCCAAATGCACTTCAGATTTTTTATAGTTAAAAATGAACTAAATTCCTATCTTTTGATGTTTTCTTTCCCTCTGCCTCCCCTAACTTACCTAACATCACTATCATCCACCAAGTCATGTTATGCAATTTCAAGTTTCCTATTTTAACACCTTTTCCATTGAAGGTGACTCACTTTATTTTGGTAATGATTCACTTTGAAATGAGATTTTATTGATTACTATTAGACTCTTTTTACCTTTACCTGACATTTTCCTGTCTTTTAGATAGAAAGAAATATTCCAAAAATAGGAATTTCTGGAATTTGAGGCTAATTTTTTAAAAAGCTTTTACTTTTTTTTTTAATCTTCACCTGAGGATATATCTTTTTTTAACTGACTTGAGAGAGAGAGAGAAACATAGATGGGTTGCCTCCTGTACAAGCCTTGACTGGGGATCAAATCCTTTGGTGAAAGGGACAATGCTTCAACCAAATGAGCCACCCAACCAGGGCAAAAAAACTTTTAATTTCTCTCTCTCTTTTTTTTTTTTTAATCCTCACCCGAGGACATTTTTCCATTTTTTGTTCAGATAGAGTGGGAGGGAGAGCAAGAGAGAGAAACATCAATGTGAAAGGGACACATTGAATGGTCGCCACCCGCACAACCCAACCAGAGCCGGGACAAACTGTAACCGAGGTACATGCCCTAGCGGGAACCGAACCTGGGTCTCTCTGGACCACAGGCCGACGCTCTAACCGCTGAGCCAAACCGGCTAGGGCTCTCTCTTTTTTCTTAATCTTCACTGCCACCATTGATTTCTTTAGATAGAGTGGAAGAGAGGAAGGGAGGGAGAGAGAGAGAAATATTCATGTGAAAGAGACACATCGATTGGTTGCCTTTCTAAAGACCCCGGACCAGGGCCAGGGATCGAACCTGAAACCAAGGCACGTACATCTCACCAGGAATTGAACCCTTGACTCTTTGGTCCACAGGATGATATTCTAACTGCCGAGCCAAACCGGCCAGGGCAGCTTTTAATTTTTAAAAAGCTCCTCCCTGACTTTCCAAGCCCTACACACACACACACACACACACACACACACACACACAGTCAGACCTTTACTAAATGACTGCTTTTTCATTTTCTTTTTCTGGGTCCTTTGTCTTTGCTGTCTGCTATTTGCATATTGGTATCCCCTAAGGTTTGGTTTGCAACCATTTACTTTTCCTCACTTTACGTTCTTACCTGGGCAGTTCTACTGTTTTTCAGGGTTTTAATTACTACTGTAATGTTGATGATTTCTCCAAATCTATGCCTGTAGATGTCAAAGGACATCTTTCTTGAGCTTCAAAACCAAATTTCCAACTATCAGATGAATATTTGTATGTGGATGCTATCTAAAGATTCATAACCTTTGGATATGTAAAACCTTCTCTCGAAATCATTATTTCATATACACATAAAAACCCTGACACACTGTCGATTTCTGAGTTCAGTTCATTCACAATAGAGATGACATTTCTGATATCACTATGCAAATCCTCTCACTAACAGCCATTTAGGCCCTGGGACACTTTCCCCTAATATTTAGCTAATGTAGCAATGTGATACTGATCTTCATTTTCCCTTTATCCTCATTCAGACTCACCTTGTAGCAGTCATTAGCAATGAGCTGTAAGAGGCTAAAGGACTCGCCAGAGGTTTCCATCTTGAGATAAAGTTCCCAGGCTAGTCTTGGTTTTTTATTCATTATATCTACAAAAAGGAAACAAAGATTCATGCTTTTTAAATGTACAAGAAATACACTTCTGCATCTTGTTATTCTATGGATTTGGTTCTATGTTTCAAATGTACACAATGATGGTAAATAGCTCTTACACGGAAAGCTTGACCGTCAGCATTAATCTGGTTCCCATCTGAAGTGTACCATACTTAAATTTTTTATGTAAGTTAGGATTCAGATAATTACGTCTTTTTAGGTTGGGTTGATTTTTAGTAGTTACCACTTAGGTCATCTGCTTAAAAGAGGACACCCATCATTCATTCAATTGTACTCATATACTTTCAGCCTCACTTAGAATATCTGATTGCTAACATTTTCCTGTAACTTTAAAATTCAGGGAGCATTTTATTTTATTTATTTTTAATTTATCTTTGTTAAACTTCACCCAAGGATATTTTTCCATTGATTTTTAGATAGCATGGAAGGGAGGGAGGAGGAGAGAGAGAGAGAAACATCAATGTGAGAGAAACACATCAATTGGTTGCATGATGACCCCGACAGGGGCTGGGTATCTACGTGCTAGGTCAATGCTACATGGTAGAACTAATCACAGGGTAAACTTATGTATGTGCATGGCCACCCTAACTGACTAGCATTAATAAGATGATTTTGGTGTTCACTTCTTCTATAAAAAAAAAACTTAGAAAATGCTCAGTATGATTTCCATCCAGAAGATTATACGGCAGAGATGAAAAAGAGGATTCCTCGGCAACATTTAAAAGATGACTCACTCGCCTTGGCCGGTTTGGCTCAGCGGTTGGAGCGTCGGCCTGCGGTACAGAAAAGATGACTCACAGTGGACTGAGCTTTGTCCCATGCACCAGGAGGTTGCCGGTCTGATTCCCAATCAGGGCACATGCCTGGGTTGCAGGCTCGATCCCCAGTAGGGGGCATGCAGGAGGCAGCCAATGGACGTTTCTCTCTCATTGATGCCTCTCTCTCTCTCTCCCTCTCCTTTCCTCTCTCTCTAAAAATCAATACAAATATATTAAAATAAATAAATAAATAAATAAATAAATAAATACTCTCAGAATAGACACAGGGATGTAAAGTACCACATGGAGAATACAGTCAGTAATATTGTAATAACTATGTAAGGAGTCACATGGGTATAGATTTATCAAGGTGATAACTTAGTAAGTTATATAACGTCTAATCACTGGGTTGTATACCTGAAACTAATACAATATTGTATGTCAATAATAACTGAAAAGTAAAAAGTGGCCTGGCTGGTGTGGCTCAGTGGCTGAGTGTTGACCCACGCACCAAGAGGTTACCGGTTCGATTCCCAGTCAGGGCACATGCCCAGGTTGTGGGCCCAATCCCCAGTGGGGGGCATGCATGAGGCAGCCAATCAATGTTCTCTCTCATCGATGTTTCTATCTCTCTTTCCTCTCTCTAAAATCAATAAAGAAAAATTAAAAAGAAAAAGAAAAAGTGATTTAAAGTAAAAGAAAAAAGACGACTCACAGCACCGAGCTAACCAACTGAGGTAAATATAATCATTCTTCAACTTCTCACTTTGGATTAAAAGGAAAACCTGCAAGAAGAAAGAAAGGGAATAAACATGAAAATGGTTTTGCAGTAAGAACATTCACATCAGCTTATCTTACATTAATGATGAACAGAGCCTTATAGATGACCTAATTCTACACAGGCTAAGAAAGTGAAGGACAAAACTGTGGCGATTTTAACACACTTCTCTCAGTTATTAATATCATAAGCTAACAAAAGGTTGGTAAGAATATGGAAGACTTGAACAGAATAATTAACAACAGCACAATACATATTATTTTCATAAACACGTGACCATGCTACTGGATAATTTTAAAGCACTGGTGCTATACAGACCACAATTATCAAGTTAGAAATCAAAATAAAATAACCTGCAAAGGATAATGCATGTTTGAAAATTATAAAACACATTTTAAAATTACAGTAAAAAAAAGTATCCATAATGGAAATTAGTTGAATAATTTGTTGAATAACAAAATTCAGTTGAATAATTCAGGTGAATTATTTTGAATGATTTAGACAAATCACTCTATGCAGTTTGAAGTTAAGATCATGGTTAGACTTAGAGGAAAGAGATTAACTCAAAAATGGGATGATGGGGTTTCTAGGGTTATGATATATTCTGTTTCAAGATTTGAGTTCCAATTATTTGGATCTGTTCACTTTTAAAAATCCATCAAGCTATACATTTTGATTTGTATACTTTTCTCCATGCATATAATGCTACTATAAAATTTATCCAAAAAAGGAAAACATTAATGTGTTATAAAATCCATATATATATATTCATATTGAGCTTGTTAATGTAACTTAGGAACAAAGAAACTTAATAATCCTTTACCCTTGAACATTTTATTTTAGTGAAGAAAACACAACGATGTTTTTAGACAGAATTATTTGAATGCCTTTCAAAGCAGGTACCCACCTCTTCGCCCTCACTGGTATTCCCGGTTGTAGCTTTGGCTTGGGCATAATTAAAGTTAAAGATGTCATCATTATAGAAGTAACTCTGAAAAACATCCCAAGAACAGGTCACATTGAGCATTAATATATAAAATAGGAAAACGGCCCTGGCTGGTTTGGCTCAGCAGTTAGAGCGTCAGCCTGTGGTCCAGAGAGTCCCGGGTTCGGTTCCCGCTAAGGGCACGTACCTCGGTTGCAGTTTGTCCCCGGCCCTGGTTGGGTCATGTGGGTGGCAACCACTCGATGTGTCCCTTTCACATCGATGTTTCTCTCTCTGTCTTCCTGTCTCTCCCTCCCACTCTATCTGAACAAAAAACAAAAAAATGTCCTCGGGTGAGGATAAAAAAAAAAGGAAAACATCAGTTATACCAGATAAACACAAAAATAAGCTTAAGGAATTAGCTGATAGCACCAATACCACCATAGTGAAAGGGCCATCTCTAAGAGTATCTTCTCGTTGACACATTTTATATATAGCACTTTGTATACAGTCATCTAGAAAATTCTGTACTGACCTTAAATGAGTTGAGGTAAATTAAGACATCCTCAAATTGCTTGAGCAGGAAGAAACAGGAAGCCATGCACTGCCTCCCTGGGATCGTATCTGAAATGGAATGGGAAAAGATAGCATGTGGATTCGCGCAGCTAAAAGGTATCTTTAGCTGAAATTTTAGTTATTTTATAATTTAGAGATGGGACTATATTCCACGGCAGCTTTCTAGATTCTGAAATTCCAGATTCTGTTCGGTGGACAAAACCTCAGCATGATGGAGATCACAGTACCTGCAAGTGACCGGGAATCTCTCTTCATGTTAACTCCAAGTCCAAAATGAACACATGCCCTGCAGGCTATAATATTCTCCAGATCTTGTTTTATTTTCTTGCCCAACTCTGATGCCTGCACATGCAACTAATGGGGCTTGGTCTCCATCATTACTCATATATGGCAGCCCAGCGCTTTCAATCTCCAATGGACAATAAAAGTGCCATGGAACCACCGGATCCTGATCATAATCCCGGCCCCACCCTTTGTCTCATATCATATTCCTATTTGAGGTGGCAGGTGGTCGGTGTATCCCCTATGCTTGCCACTGGTATTCCTAATCCTCCCTTTTCTGTTTCTACTCAATTTTTCCCCCTGGCAACTCATCACTGTCATATATGCATAATCTATTTATCTTTTATGTTTATAGTCTGTCCCACTACACTGTATGCTCCACCAAGAAAGGAGGATTTGTTAGTTTGTTTACTGCTATATTCGCAACACTTCAAAACATTTTTGTTGCATGAATGAATGAAATGGAGAATGAAAAAAATATTCAATAAATGGTTTTGGTGAAACATTAAAAAAATAAATATCCAGGGGTGATAAAAATATTTGCCAACCAGTTTAGCATGAAAATGTCATCAGAATAGATGCTGGCCATAGACAACCGGTACGGACAGCCATACTGGTTCCCACTGGCTGTTGGCCCTTTTTATATAACTCTTCCTCAAGTCTTATACTGAATCTTGACTGATGAGATCAATATTTTAATAACAGAAACAGCCCCGGCCGGTTTGGCTCAGCGGTTAGAGCGTTGGCCTGCGGTCCAGAGAGACCCGGGTTCAGTTGCCGCTAAGGGCACGTACTTCGGTTGCAGTTTGTCCCCGGCCCTAGTTGGGTTGTGCGGGTGGCAGCCACTAGATGTGTCCCTTCATGTCGATGTTTCTCTCTCTCTCTCTGTCTCTCTCTCTCTCTCCCTCCCACTCTATCTGAACAAAAAATGGAAAAATGTCCTCGGGTGAAGATTAAAAATATAAATAAATAAATAACAGAAACAAAGCCACAAAACTTTTTTTTTTATCCTCACCCAAGGATATTTTTCCATTTTTTGTACAGATAGAGTGGGAGGGAGAGAGAGGAAGGGAGAGAGAGTGAGAAACATCGATGTGAAGGGACACATCGAGTGGCTGCCACCCGCACGACCAACCAGGGCCGGGGACAAACTGCAACCGAAGTACGTGCCCTTAGCGGGAACCGAACCCGGGTCTCTCCGGACCGCAGGCCGACGCTCTAACCGCTAAGCCAAACCGGCCAGGGCCACAAAACTTTTTGTGGGAAATAGAGGTGAATATTATATAACTCTAGGGGTAAAAAAAAAAGGACTGTCTATGCTTGATACACATGGAAGAAATCATTATGGAAAAGATAAATTTGATTAAATAAGATATAAATAGTTTAATATAACAAAAACTATGATAGGCAAAGTTAAAAGTCAAATGACCCACTAGGAAAGATATCTACAACACAACAAAACTATAACAGATAAAGAGCTTTTGTAAAATCAATTAAAGTTAATGTTTTAAATAAAAAACAAAATCAAAAATTTAAAACTCTCATAAACTACAGAACACATTTATTCTCTATTTTTATATTCTCTCATCCCATTTCAGCTGAGATGCTGAGAAGAGCTAATTCCAATCGTCTCTCCTGTGTCTGACTTCCCACTTGATAATGGGAAACCACACAGATGTTTCCCTGGACAGAGAATCAGACTTCACCAGTCAGTACACGACCAGCTCCGGTTATGAATCATGCTCAGAAGTCCAGATTTCAGACATACCGCATTCACTAGCTGATCCTCCCACCAACTGGAAAAACTGCTGGGCAATTTTCATATGATCTCTCTGAAAAACAAAGCAGAGCTGATATAGAGGAACAAGCTGAAAATATTTTATTTATATTATACTTTGTAACATATTTATCAGGATTTAACACATACCCTTGTTTTAAATCCTCCCAACACAAAACTAATTCTGATTAGCATACAACCTGAAAATGATAACCCAAAGCTGAATTAAAACATACTCTGGGGAAGAAGGAGAAGGAGGAGAGGGAGGGGAAGGGGGAGGGGAAGGGGGAATGGAAGGGGGAGGGGGAGGAGGAGGAGGAAGGAGGAGAAGAAGTTGTTCTATCTTAAAAGAATTTTAGTTCTTTAGTTCTTCATTCTCAAGTTCTATACTAAAAGTACCTTCATTAAATGAACTCATTTATTTACTCATTAATTCACTCAACAAGTATTTATTGCTCTTTTACCATATATCAGAACTTGTGGTAGGACTATTGTTATAACGAGGAATATTTATTAAATAAACTCATTCATTTATTTAGTAACTATTTATGGCCTATCTGTTGAAGAAGGCACTGTGAAGTGAGCTGGAGATAAAATTTATTTATATCCCACTTTGTTCCAAAGAGAATGTAGTATTCTTATTTAGAATATTAGAGTTATAAAGGATACAAGAATTCTTATTATTTTTAGAATATTAGATGAATAAGAGCTTAATTTTAGACACAATTTTCATGTTTATGAAAACATTTCCCATAGAAACAATTTTTCCCATTTTACAGATGCCAAAAGTATAGCTGTAAAATATAGAGGTGTGAAATGTTAAAAAACAAAATTCACTGAAAAATAATGAAGCTGTGCAATGATTTGTTATTAGATATATACACTGTTTAAAAATTGGGCTCTTCTTAAACAAAGCAACAATTCTTAGCATTAAAGCCTTTTTTTTTCTTTAACAAAGAATTGTTTTTACACTGGAATCTGACTGGGGGATATGGAGAAACAAGGAGCTGCAGAAGGGCCTATTTGAAAGCTTATTGCTGGTTGACCTGTGACATTTGTTTTGATTTTTTCCATATACTATAACTTTGCAAACTATAGATTACCAGTGATTTCATACTCACCGACCCCATTTCCTGGCCAAGGGCTGCATTGACCACTCCTTTGAGGATATACTCCTGAAAACATGGAGTAACACTGATTGATTTCAAAGGAAAATGGATCTATGAGATATTTTTCAAGTTAATTATTTGCATCAACTCAATATTTTACATGTATTATCAAAAGTCAGCCAGAGTCACACTTTTCTTTTCTCTCCCTGGCTTGAATAAAAGAATTAAGGGATTTTCATTTGGTTCCAGCAAGCAAGTGTCCATATAACAGAACTCACCATATTTGTAAATTCTCAATCCTAAGCAGAAATAACTCAGTGGAAACTTCTAAGAGTTAAGTGTTGTTTTATTTCAATATAATGGAAACAAATTAACAGTAAAATGTTTACATAATAATTTTTATCACTTTGTCAGCCACTGTCATGCTCTGTGACTATAACATATATATTATTTCCCTTTTCCGATAACAACCTTCCTTTGCTAGTAATTCTTTCTTTCTTTTCTTTTTTTTAAACTGTCCTCTGGTTTCCATTTGTAAGGTTTTCTCTTTTGGAGTCCTAAGGCCTCACCTATATCCTTTTCAGACTTGGCCCTATTTTTTAACAGATCCCTTATTTAGCAGCTTGATCAATTTTTTTTTTAACCTCACCCGAGGACATTTTTTCATCTTTTGTTCAGATAGAGTGGGAAGAAGAGAGAGAGAGAGAGAGAAACATTGACGTGAAAGGGACACATCGAGTGGCTGCCTCCCGCATGACTCAACCAGGGCCGGGGACAAACTGCAAACGAGGTACGTGCCCTTAGCGGGAACGGAACCTGGGTCTCTCTGGACCGTAGGCTGATGCTCTAACTGCTGAGCCAAACCAGCCAGGGCAGCAGCTTTATCAATTTTTATGTGAGTGATCTTCTTATTGAAGAAGGCTCATGAAAAGAATTATACAGAAAATGCAGAAGTGTTTAATGCATGAGAAATAGACCTGTTTAGACTTCATGGGGTCTGGAAATATTTCTCAATCAGTGTTTCATTCAGTAAGTAGAATGACTACTGTGTGCTTAGTGTACATAGCATTGGAGATACAATACAGACATTCCTGACTGCAAGGAGGTAATAATCAAGTGGGGGAAGAAAGACAAGTTACAGGCAATTATACTTGCGATATAAGTCACTGCTTTCATCAGAATTCTAGATTTCAGTATTTTCAAACCTCAACTCTTTTGAGGAAATGACCACATATAAGGGAGTTTAATTTTTTTAAATATGTTTTTATTGATTTTTTAGAGAGAGAGGAAGGGAGAAAGAGATAGAAACATCAATGTGAGAGAAACACCAATCAGCTGCCTCGTGCACACCCCTTTTTGGGGATCGAGCCCGCAACCTGGGCATGTGCCCTGACTGGGAATTGAACTGGTGACCTCTTGGTGCATGGGTCGACACTCAACCAGTGAGTTACACTGACCAGGCTATATATGACAGTCTTTTTTTTTTTTAAATCCTCACCCGAGGATATTCTTCTACTTATCTTCAGATAGAGTGGGAGGGAGAGAAAGGGAGAGAAAGAGAAACATTGACATGAGAGCGACACATCGACTGGCTGCCTCCCATACAACCTGACCAGGGCTGGGGACGAACTGTAACCAAGGTACATGCCCTTGGCCGGAATCGAACACGAGACTCATTGGTCCGCAGGCCGATGCTCTGCTTCCGAACCAAACCGGCCAGGGCTATGACATTCTTAATTACCTGAGGAGTAGTAGGTTCCAGATCCTTGATTAAGTTATAAGCTTCTTGTACATCATCTGAAATACAAAAATTAAGTAGCTATACTAGTCCTTATTTCAGCAAACTCTTCTGAAACAGTCCCCCAAAAGTAAAATCCTTCAGTACTCAAACATTCATGAGAATTATGATCTATTTTATCTGTCCTCTAATTTTCTGTCAAGTTCAATGTTGAATAGTTACTCTAAAGATATACAAATGTCCTTTGGAAACCCATAGTAAGTCATGAAGCACCTAAAAAATGTTCAAGCAAAGAATATGGATTAGGTATTACACACCAATGACATTAAAGTTATCTAAGAAAAACAATAATTTTAAAAAATATTTCTTTTTTCCAACAACAACAAAAAAAGAGAGCTATACACAGGGGTGGGAAAAATTAGGTTAAATTATCAGCCATGATTACCAGTAAGGACAGAAAATAATAATAATAATAAAATGACAAATAATACAATAATTAATATATAATAATACAAGAATAAACTCTGTTTCGTGTACTCACAACTGTAAACCTACTTTTTCTGACCTCTGCATTAAGCATGTACAAGTGAAACTACATGAAATCTGGGATTTGCTTTCTAACATCTTAGCAACAAAAAGAGGGAGAGGGAAGACAGGTGAAAAAAGACTGTCAGTATCTTGAAAACTATTGAATCTGGGATGGATATTTGCGTGTCCATAGTAGTTACTTTTGTTTATGTCTGAAAATTTTTATAATAAAAATTAATTTGGCCCTGGCCGGTGTGGCTCAGTTGGTTGGAGCATCGTCCCATACACCAAAAAGTGGCGGGTTTGATTCTTGGTCAGGAAATGTAACCCAGGTTGTAGGTTTGATCCTAGGTTGGGGCATGTACTAGAGGCAACCAATCGATGACTCTCTCTTTCTCTCTCTAAAATCAATTTAAAAAATAAATAATTAATTTATAAAATATATAAGATGTTTCTTTATTTCTTATCCCAAAGTATATTTCTTTGTGCTTATCTATCACAGAGAGAACTATTTGCAAGTTCATGTTCTTATTTCAATGAACACTTACATTTTCCTCAGAGAAATAGGTTTTCTGGTTGGTTTCTACCATACACCTAAAAAGGCCCACACTGTTAGTCCGAGGTCCATGACAGAGTGCCACCACCAAGTGGCTGCTACTACCCTATACTTATAACTGTTACATTAAAAGGCTACTTTAGGCCTGGCTAGTGTGGCTCAATGGTTAAGTATCGACCCATGCACCAAGAGGTCTCCGGTTCGATTCCCAGTCAGGGCACATGTCCAGGCTGTGGGCCTGATCCCCAGTTGGGGGCATGCAGGAGGCGGCCAATCAATGTTCTCTCTCATCGATGTTTCTGTCTTTCTCTCCCTCTCTCTTCCTCTCTCTCTAAAAGTAAATTAAGAAAAAAAATTATTTAAAGGCTGCTTTAGGCATGTGTCTAGCCATTTTAACCTTACTTAGGGACAATAACTAACACATTCTCTTTAAATCATAGTACTTCTTTCTTTATATATTTTAATTAATTAATTTTTTAATTACAGATGTCCCTCCTTTTTTCTCCTATTGTCACCCTCCTCCTCACTACCTACCCCCCCCCCAGCCTTCACCTGTACTGTTGTCTGTGTCCATAGGTTATGCATATATGCATATAAGTTCTTTGGTTTATCTTTTCCCGCTCCTACACCCCCCTTCCCTCTGAAATTTGTCAGTCTGATCCCTACTTCCATGTCTCTGGATCTGTTTTGTTCATCAGCTTATTTTGTTCATTATATTCCACAAATAAGTGAGATCATGTGATATTTGTTTTTTTCTGATTGGGTTATTTTACTTAGCATAATACTCTTCAGATCCCTCCATTTCGTCTCAAAGGGTGAATCATAATATTTCTCATAAGAAATGAAGGGTATAAAGAAACAGAAAGGCAGACAATTAGAGCGGATCGAAAACACTTAGTGATTAAAACAGACTTAGGAAGATGTGGATGTACGTTAGACATAGCGGAACCTAGACAAAAAGAAAGAACTGCCAGGGAGAAGGAAAACCAATGGAAAACTGAAATACATGGGTAAAGAACAAAGGAGAGGAAAACAGAAAAACTGATTGAGGGAGAAGGTGGAAGCAACAGAGGAAGAAAGAGAGGCTAAAGAGTAAAGGACAACAGTCTGGCCAGTGTGGCTCAGTGGCTGAGCACTGACCCATGCACCAAGAGGTCGCCGGTTCTATTCCCAGCCAGAACACATGCCAGGTTGTGGGCCTGATCACTAGTAGGGGGAGGGGGGGCATGCAGGAGGCGGCCAATCAATGTTCTCTCTCATCAATGTTTCTCTCTCTCTCTCCCTCTCACTTCTTCTCTCTCTAAAATCAATAAAGAAAAAAAAAAATTTTTTTTTAAAGAGTAAAGGACAACAGATAAGCACCAAAAAACTTGCTCTGTACTTTGAACTTACTACAAATCTATTTTTGGAAGTATTATGGATTTTAAAACCTAAGCAAATAGTTCAGTTAGAGATTAAATGTTCTAAAATACACCTTTATAAGCAAGATCAAGATGAAATTTTCTTACCTTGACGGAGGTAGTAAATCACTAAGTTTAGCCGAGCTTCAGGAATGACATCAACCAGGGGAGGCAAAACCTGCAAAGCCCCTTCGCCTCCTCGGAAAACAACCTAGAGATATAGAAGCTGTGTTATGGCAATAAGTATAAATACATTTATTGGTGGAAATGTTTCAGGAGCTGCCACTTATAACTGGGTACATAATACCCAACAAAAATAGCCCTGAGAATCAGTTAATATCTTGAGAACTTTTATCTTTCACTGAATGTATTATTGACTATTACCTGTGCTTCTAACCATCTCTCCTTTCTCCTCCCCTCTGATTTTGATACTTATATTCAAATATTCCATTTTTTACGCTATCTAAAAATCTATCTCCACTACCAGTCTTTATACCCATATCCTCCTTTATTTTTATTCATTGCACTTATCACTTCATTTCATGTATTTTTTTGTCTGTTAATCTGTTATACCCACCAGCATATAAGCTCCACATGACAGGGAATTTTGCACTTACTGTGTACGCCCAGCCCCTGCAACTGTAACTAGTATAGAGGTACTCAGCTATTCTTTGAAAGGATGAACATACCATTGAAGCTCTCTACATACATACGACCTTGACCTCGCCAAAAAAAAAAAATATCTAGCCCTGGCCGGTGTGGCTCAGTTGGTTGGGTGTCGTGCCACATACTAAAAGGTTGCCAGTTCCATTCCCAGTCAACGCACATGGCCAGGGTGCTGGGGTTGGGTGTGTGTGTGTGCAGAAGGCAGCTGCCAATCAATGGCATCAATGTTCCTCTCTCTCCCTTCTTCTTTCTCTAAAATCATAAAAACATATTTTTAAAAATAAATAAATGGCATTAGTAATATATACCTTTAGGGTTATTATGAAGATTAAATGAGTTAAAAGTAGGCTAGCCCAGCTGGTGTAGCTCAGTGGTTGAGCATCGACCCATGTACCAAGAGGTCGCCAGTTCGATTCCTGGTCAGGGCACATGCCCAAGGCTATGGGCCCGATCACCACTGGGGGGCATGCAAGAGGCAGCCAATTGATGTTCTCTCTCATCGATGTTTCTATCTCCCTCTCCCCCTTCCTTTCTCTCAAAAATCAATCAATAAAAGTAATATGTATTCATTGGGGGAAAAACTTCACAAATGAAATGTTCATATTTTTACTTCTCTTCAATCTCACTCTCCAAGAATAATCCCTATTTACTAGCTGATATGCTCCTTCCATATATAGTGGGTTTTTTATATACATATAGTGGTGTTTTACTCTGGCTGTATATTATATCCACCTGGGAAGCTTTTAAGAAAAATACTGATAGATGGGCCCCAGCCTAACCATCAAATAAGAATCTCTGGGGGGTGCAGCCCATGCATCATTTTTAAAAACCTCCCCATGCCCAGAGACATGGAAGTAGAGTACAGACTGACAACCCTCAGAAGAGGGGGTGGTGGAGGGAGGAAAGAGATAAACCAGAGAACTTATATGCATATATGCATAACCAATGGACAGGGACAACAAAGCTGGGGACGTTGTGAGGGGGATGGGGAAGAGGGTGTCAATGGGGTAAAAAAGCAGAAACATCTGTAACAAAAATTAAATTAAAAAAAAAAAATCAGTTTTTAAAAATGCAGAAAAAAAAAAAAAGAATAAAAAAAAAAAAAATCTCCCCATGCCCTGGCTGGTTTGGCTCAGCGGTTAGGCATCAGCCTGTGGTCCACAAAGACCCGGGTTCGGTTCCCGCTAAGGGCACGTACCTCAGTTGCAGTTTGTCCCGGGCCCTGGTTGGGTCGTACGGGAGGCGGCCACTTGATATGTCCCTTTCACATCGATGTTTCTCTCTCTCTCTCCCTCCCACTCTATCTGAACAAAAAGTGGAAAAATGTCCTTGGGTAAAAATACAATAAATAAATAAATAAATAAATAAATAAATAAATAAATAAATAAAAATGAAAACCTCCCCATGGTTCAAATGTGGAGTTGTAAATGACATTACATTATTGGGTGCTCTTTCTTGCCTGCCCTTTCTTGTCTTATTTGCTTATGCTCCTTCCTCCAACCCATTAAATACAGATGCTTGCTTGGAACCATATTTCTGTTTCTAACCCTGTCTTCCAGATTTGGTTGTCAGGACTTTAGCATTCACTTCTCTTGTAAGAACTCCTAACCCTGTTCTCCGGTCTTGATCTCTCTCCAAGCTTAATGTCCAGACTATTATCTTTAACACACCATTCTCCACAGATTTAATCCTGCTTTATTTATAAACTAGATTAGAAGTGAAAAGATAAGAGGCCCAAGCTCATACTAGAAACTATCCAAAGAAGACTATCTTTGTGATGGAGGCCTGACTTAGAGACAAAACACAGAATAAATACAAGACACTGCCAAGAAAGGATTAATAGAAATAAGTGACTGAGTAGATATCATAAATCAAGGATGGGGGTGGGGCTATGGGAGATAGTCTGAAACAACGACGGTTCTCAGCTTGTATACTGGCAGAACTGGTGCCAGAACAGAAACAGAAATCAGAAGGAAACGGTGTAGTCACTATCGCCATTTCTAGATGAGGAATCTGAGAGTCAGCAGTAGTAAACGATTTGCCCAGTGTCCCCCGATGTCTGAGTCCAAACAGCTGCTCTGCATCATGATGTTTCATGGTCAATAGAGTCAAACTGAATCTGAGTCTGACTTTTTTAGCAATGGCCATCGTAACCCAGCCCTGACCCTAATCACCCCTTCACTTTTCCACTAAGAACTTCACTTTCCGCTATGCCCCAGTACAAACTTTCTGTTGCGGCAAGCTCAATCTTCTCCAACCTTTCATAAGTGCCATGCTCGTTCTAAATCTCAGCCATCTTCAAAGATGAGCTCAACTTTCACTTTCACCAGAAAACCCTTCCCATGTCTTCTAACCTCCAAAGAGATATTATTCCTTTGTCTTTACCAACAAACCAAACACTTGGATCTACACTGCCTTGCACATCTTTCTAAATGCTTTGTGGGGGGGAGCAGAGTTGGTCACTCTAAAACATGCCTTTTTTTTTTTTTTATCCTCACCCGAGGACATTTTTCCATTTTTTTGTTCAGATAGAGCGGGAGGGAGAGAGAGGAAGAGAGAGAGAGAAACATCGACGTGAAAGGGACACATCGAGTGGCTGCCACCCGCACGACCAACCAGGGCCGGGGACAAACTGCAACCGAGGTACGTGCCCTTAGCGGGAACCGAACCCGGGTCTCTCTGTACCGCAGGCCGACGCTCCAGCCGCTGAGCCAAACCGGCCAGGGCACATGCCTTTTTTGGGATGTTAATTATTCTTAGCTGGTTACCTTACTCAAGAGGAGTCTTTTACCTCCTCCTTACCTGCATAAAGGAATTTAGATAGAAAAGCCTGCGCCAGGAAGGGAGCTACATAGTAACTGTATTTTCATGTGAGCTCGTGTGGCAGACAGGGAGCCCCAGCAAGCCCTATTTGTTAGACTCCTCCTGGAGTCCCATTGTTTCTGGGGAGCCCAACGAGAATCTGTGTACCAAATGTTTGCTCCCTGGCATCTGCCTGTGAATTGCTTAGCTTCTCTTTAAAGTCCCATCAGTGCCCCCTTTCTCCTTAGCTCAAGATAGCTTATAAGCCTCAACTGCCTGTTTTGTCCTCGGGACCACATTCTTATGAAGCCCTTATATGTATACATGTAATTCACTTGGCTATTTTCTCTGGTTAATCTGTCTCATGTCAATTTTGTTATTAGACCAGCCAGAAAAATTTAGAAGAGTAAAATAAAAATTATTTTTCCTCCCCTATATGTATGGGGTGGGTAAAAGTAGATTTACAGTTGTAAGTATACAAAACAGTTTATTCTTTTTTTTCCTTATCCTCACCCGAGGACATTTTTTTTTCTCATTTATCTTGAGATAGAGCTGGAGGGAGAGGGGGAAAAAGAGAGAGAGAGATACATTGATGCTAGAGAGACACATCGAGTGGTTGCCACCCACACGACCCCATCTGAGGCCAGGGACAAACTGCAACGGAGGTACATGCCCTTAGCGGGAACCGAACCCGGGCTTCTTTGGTCCGCGGGCCGACGCTCTATCGGCTAAGCCAAACCGGCCAGGGCCAAAATAGTTTATTCTTGTATTGTTATATATTGATTATTGTTTTACTTATGTGTATACAACTGTAAGCCTACTTTTGCCCACCCTGTATATTACTGCCCTCCCAATAAGGATTTCCTTGATGAAAGGGCCTGATATGTTAAAGACATTTTCTCTCCTCCACAGCAAGGAGCAGTTCCCTGGGAGTAGAGGAATATTTGCTGAGTCATCTCCCTTCATTCTTCTTTCTAACTGCTGAGATGTACCTAAGAGGGCGGGACTCAAGTCAGTCAAAACAGGAAACTATTACTCACCAGATTGTGCCTGATGAGCTCTTTAGCAAATTCAAAGGAAGAAGAAGCGTTGTCCATCAAGCTTTTGAGTTCTGCCTGAAATTGAAAAAGAAAAGACTTATAAAAATGACGCGTGTAGATCTTTAAAAAAAATTTTTTTAAAAATTCTCACCTGAAGACACTTTTCCATTGATTTTCAGATAGAGTAGGAGGGAGGGAGAGAGAAAGAAAAACATTTATGTAAGAGAGACACACTGATTGATTGCCTCCTGCATGACCCCAACTAGGGCTGGGGATTGAACTGCAACCAAGGTACAAGCCATTGACCGGAATCGAACCCACGGCCCGCTCTAACCACTGAGCAAATTAGCCAGGGCATGATGTGTGTAGTTCTAATACAACATATTTGCACAATGCTTTATAGCTTCAAATAATTTAACATGCTATTTCATTTGTTTCTCAGCACCCTAAGAAATAATGTAATTATTAGTATCCTCATTTTTCAGTTGAGAACACTGAGGCCTATAAAAGTTAAGTGACTTGAACTTTACACTAAACAGAAAGTTTGAAATTGGGAACCCAAGTCTGAAGACTCATCGAGTTTGTCTTTTCTTTCAGGGCCAAGGGTAATAAAAGAGTTAAACGTATAGCAACTGAGGTTGATTCTTCAACCTGACCATTCCATCTATGTCCTGAATTCTCATAGTACCTCCTTCCTGATGAATTGCTATTTATTTACATAACTCAATTAAAATACCTCTTCCTGCCCTGGCAGGGTACTAAGTTGGTTAGAGCGTTGTCCTCATACAGCAAGATTGTGGATTTGATCCCTGGTCAGGGCACATACAAGAATCAACCACTAAATGCATAAATAAGTTGAACAGCCCGGCAGGTGCGGTTCAGTGGTTGAGCATCGACCCATGCACCACGAGGTCACCAGTTCGATTCTCGGTCAGGGCACATGCCCAGGTTGTGAGCCAAATCCCCAGTGGGGGGCATGCAGAAGGCGGCCAATTGTTGTTCTCTTTCATTGATGTTTCTCTTTCTCCCTCTCCATTCCTCTCTCTCTAAAATCAATAAAAAAAAAATAAGTTAAACAGCAAATTGATGTTTTTCTCTCTCTCTCCCTTCCTCTCTAAAATGAATGAATGAATCAATAAAATAAAATACATCTTCCCTGTTTAATTTTTTTGATGTTTTCATTGATATTTTAGAGAGAGAGGAAGGGAGATATAGAAACATCGGTGTAAGAGAGAAACATCGATTGGCTGCCTCCTGCACGACCCATACTGGGGATTGAGCCCGCAACCCGGGCATGTGCTCTGACTGGGAATTGAACCAGAACTTCTCAGTCCATGGGATGACGCTCAATCCACTGAGCCACACCAGCTGGGCTATTTTTTAATTTATTAGACCTATCAGATCTCTTCTGTATTCTCTTACCCCCTGAATACCCCTTAGAACAAATGGTCAGCCTTTCCCAGTGTCTTCACTAAGACAGTAGACTTACCCCTTCCTCAGCTTTCTGCTATTCCTACCTTGCCAATCAATAATTTTAAGTAATCCTCTCTTCCTCCTTTTCCTCCTTTCATTAGTAGATAGCCAAGCTTTTCTGGATAAAATAATTACATTCTTGATTATTGTCACTAACCACTCTAAGCTTATCCTACCTGATCGCAGAGGGGAGTGTGCGTCTACTCAGCGACCCTATATTAATCCCGTCTCTTATCACAGCAGCAGTTCCGCAGTGTTAGGTAATATTAGGCTAGATCAGTAGTTTTCGAGCTTTTAAATCTCAAGATCCCTTTTATAATCTTAAATATTAAGAATCCGAAAGAGCTTTTGTTTATGTGGGTTATAGCCATCAATATTTATTGTATTAGAAATTAAAACAAAAAATTTTAAGTATTCAATTAATAAAAAGAATATAAATCTACTATACATAAACATAAATAACATTTTTTTTTTATTTAAAAAGACTATATTTTCCAAGACAAACATTTTGTGAGAAGAGTGGGCCCTGGTCCCGAGCGGGTCTGCCTAGGGCCAAGGGTAGTATTTGGGTTCTTGACTTCACGCAGGAAAGATTTCACAATATGAGTCCAAGTGGCTATGAGGGTACATTTAGTAAAGCCTGGGACAGTGAAACAGGGGAGGGCTTAGCAAAAAAAGCAACAGGAGACCAGGCTGGGCTGCTTTAGGCCACTGGGAGGTCAGAGAAAAAGGGAACTGAGGCGGGGTCAGGGTTAGCCAGGGAAGGTGCAAGTGGCCTGGGGGCCCTTGGAGTTGGGAGCCGCCTGCAGGGGAAGGAGAGGGGCAGGAATGACTCGGGAGTGCTCCCTGGAGGGGTGCTCGCTCAGTCCTTTGTCTCTTGCAGGTGGGAATCTTAGGGAAGCTCTCAGGGGAGGGTTTCAGCAGAATATTCATCAGTTTTTAGGTGAGCTCCTTCAGGGTCATGGTCTCCACTGATCGGTCAGTGCCTGGGCAGGAGCTTGTTAGTCACTGCAGCTGGTCCTGGCATCTCCGACCTGGTTTTGCGGCTTTTCTGGGCCTAGGGGCCTAGCTGTTGTGTCTAGGGAGGTGACCGGTATCTGCTGCAAACTGCTCGGCCAGTTTGCTCAGCTATCTGTGGTTTCCTTATTCCCCTTGTCCTACCGCACTGGCCTGTCTCACTGCCTTACATGTTTGCAGTTCTCTTTAATGTCTGGCTTAACAGAGGACAGCGAGATCGGCATATCTGTACTGCATTTGAACTACTTTGAAATCACACTGTCTCTGGAAAACTTGGTTGAACACTTGAGAGAATGAAAGTGAAAAGACAAAATCTTTTCGTATTATGAGAATAGATTTAATCTCAGGCAGGGCCAGCCAGAACCAAGGGCGAGGCAAGCAAGGTGCCCAGGGCACAGTTCCCAAACAGCACCCACTCGCACCTGGGCAGTGTGCAACTGCTGAACTTTCCAGTTTGCACCTGGTCTCACTCAAGTCCAGGCCCTGCCTGCCTCACAGACCCCATGAAGCGAAGTCCCAGATCACAATTTGAGCACCACTGGGCTAGATTATTCAAATAAATGCTCTCACTGAAAACAACTAAATAAAAAGAGATATACTATTAAAACATTTTCTTAGAACTACCAAAGAAAGTAGGAAGTTACCAGACCAAAAATGAAGGGGAAAACAGAACCTAGATAAGGAGGCAAGCATGAAAGCCATTTTTGCCCTAAGGCTTTGCTGAGTCTATAAAATTAAATCTTTTACCTAGAGAAGGAAGCAAGCATGAAAGCCATTTTTGCCCTAAGGCTTTGCTGAGTCTATAAAATTAAAACTTTTAGTTGACAGTCATGCCAGGCAACAAGAACCAACAAACCCGGGGCCCGCACAGGGAGTCCAGCAGGATCGCAAGCAGCCAGGGCCCACAGAGCCACTGGCATGGGAAGGATGCTAGACCTGGAACACCCTCGCGCAGCATCACGGCCCACCTAGGGTCCTGAGGGCAGTTTAGGCGACCTCATGCCTTGAAGTGGGCTCGAGGTGGTCCCAAAGTGATAGTTCTCCGGGGTATCTGACTGAGCAAATGCATATCACTCAGGGAGAGAAGTGCCTCATTGTAGGCCTGACTCTTCCTGTAAGTAAGTTCTCAGGTACTGCGTCAAGCACACAGTCGAAGATAAGTTGACATACAAAGAAACTAGACTCCTTGAGGGAGAACCGGGAGGAATGAGAAAAAACAGAAACAGACCCACAAAAATTTCAGAAATTCAAATCATCAGACTCAGATCACAAAACAAGTATGCAGACTATGTTTAAGAAAATAAAAGATGAGCATGAAAGCATAAAATTGGAAACGGCAAAAAGTGAATATTTTTAAGAAAGAACTAGAAATACAAAATATTTTCAACAAAATTTAACAGATAGCTAGGTGTCATATAAACGAGCCCAAAATAGCCACTGTATACTGGCCCCTCGCTTGTTTATATTTTCACAGTAGGCTGAGATCCAATAGCTCAAACATTTTCTAAAAAAGCTTTAATTTTTTTTTATTTTTATTTTACTCATCGAATTGTTTTAAATGTAGCCCCAGTAAGCATGCTTTTAGTTTTTGAGACCCTGCCTGGTTTTCATAGCCCACAGACTTCCTGAACATCTGCTAACCATAGATAAGATAAACCCTAGAGCTATAAAGAACCTGAGCTGCTGTTGCCTATTAGACCTCAAGCAGTCTCTGACCCCAACACCCCCCACCTGCTGCTAAGAGACATCAGCTACACAAGCAAGCCCCTCTCCAAACTCCCTCCTCCCTGGGAGTTACCTTGCCCTCCTCCTCCCTTTCTGTTTTTTTTTTTTTTTTTTTTTTTTTTATTTTTTTATTTTTTTTTTTATCCTCACCTGAGGACATTTTTCCATTTTTTGTTCAGGTAGAGTGGGAGGGAGAGAGAGGAACAGAGAGAGAGAGAGAGAAACATCAATGTGAAAGGAACACATCGAGTGGCCGCCACCCGCACGACCGACCAGGGCCGGGGACAAACTGCAACCGAGGTACGTGCCCTTAGCGGGAACCGAACCCAGGTCTCTCAGGACCGCAGGCCGACGCTCTAACCGCTGAGCCAAACCGGCCAGGGCGCTCCTCCCTTTCTGAATGAGGGTCCCTGTGTCATGGCCTCTGGACAGTCACATGCTATGAGGAACTTCCTCCACACAAAAATCTTTCAAAGAGTCACCCAAATACAGTTTGTGGGTGCTACTGTCACCTCATGGTCATATCTGTTTCCTTGATCAGCCCTGAAATCCCTGGAATCCCCTACAACCGGTTTTTGGTTGTTGTTGTTGTTTTGTTTTTTATCTTCACCCGAGGACATTTTTCATTCAGATAGAGCGGGAGGGAGAGAGAGGAAGAGAGAGAGAGAGAAACATCGATGTGAAGGGACACATCGAGTGGCTGCCACCCGCACGACCAACCAGGGCCGGGGACAAACTGCAACCGAGGTACATGCACTTAGCGGGAACCGAACCCGGGTCTCTCTGTACCGCAGGTTGACGCTCCAACAGCTGAGCCAAACCGGCCAGGGCCTACAACCAGTTTTACAGCAGGTCTGACT